TGGCTCCATATATGCATGGATATCCATCGGTTATCAGCTCTTCTGACAAATCGGTGGATCTTCAGTCCCTCCGCTCACACCATCGTGACTTCTCCGCACATATTAATACCTTGACTCGGGGACACTCATGCAGCACACGACCTGCCGCCGTGTGCGATGCCCAGCGGAATGTCTTCGACGCGCGTCCGCTGACCGGACGTATCGCCAACAGAAACAGCAAATTGGGTACCCAAAGTACCCGTATCGGTCTTCTTTGCTCGTTCGTGGAACATTTATGTGTAGGATTCCCCTCGAGCTCGGCTGCGGTTACGTAAGGATCGAGTGGGAAACGAGCGGAAAGCCCCCCGCTTCCCATACTTACGCCATCATCACGCAGCCACTCTCCCTTTCCACCGTTATTTTCTTGAGCCCCTCCCGTTTGCATCCTCGTCATAGCGGTCAGTCATGTGTCCGCGCCTTATGGCACCGCCTACTGCCCTCTTCTCAATCATCTTCTGGATTCTCTCTCTCTCGTGAGAGTCGGTCTTTTGTTAGCGTTCCGGTCAGTTGTTTGTTCCGGTCTCTTCTTGCAAGTGGGTCAACGGAGCAGTGTTTGTTTGTCGGCATCATGAGTGTTTGAGTGAAGTGTATCTACATTGGAAACTCGACTAGCGTGAGGCAAATCCATCCTACGTAACTTGGAATTCCCTGCGTTTATATTTTTTTAAGTTGAGCGTTCGCCCATTTCACCGCTTTCTTTCTTTTACTTTTCTGGACAGTCCCCTCGGACAAATACTTTGCGTTTTGTTTCAACTGGGTTACCGTTCATAAAGTAAATGAGTGGTTATGGACTTGCTGCTTTGGGTCATTCGATTTAAACCCAAACAAAAATGCATTGAAAATCAGCCCTTGAGGAATCCCACGAGAGAAAGAGAAATACTTTTTAGTGGCTTTGGCAGTCCAATTAGGCGTCTTCAACGATTCCTCCCTTTCGCCAATTGAACCTTGCGATTGGCTATTGCACCGGGTCGTGTCGTCTTGCTGCGAACACATGCGTACACCACGGAATCACCAAGGTTTCTTTTTTTTCCGATGAGAAAAACGTACTCGAGAAAATTTACCGTCTATCAAGTGCGATGGAGAAACCTGAGTATTCACATCACGTTCATCCATTTAAATGGAGCAATCCCTCCATGCAGAATTCATTTTTATTTCTGACCCAGTGCAGAAATTCATGGAAACTCCTGGGGTAGCCTACCAATAGAAAAATGATTGTTTCCAACATACAATGCAGATCGATCCGACTTCGATTTCCAACTCCCTGGGTGCTTTCGTGACTTCCATTAAATCTCTCCGTAATTTTTTTAAATAGGAATATTCGCTGACCGAGTCTGATGTTTTAAGCATTCCGCCTCGACGACTCGTCCGAGGGGCTGGAAATTATTTAACTTGGTCAAGGAAGCAAGGGTTCAGGCAAAAGGCTTTGCGGATGGCAGGATCGCCATATATACCTATAGTGAACTGCTTCCCCCCAAGTTTCCTGTGATCAGGAATCGAACAACTGGGAGTTCATCGAAAAGGTGCAAGAGTAGCCTTGGCTGCATGATAAAAAGACTAACAGAAGGACTTTCAAGAACCTGGAAGAAAAATCATTTCATTGATAGCCTTTTATTTCAACTTGAATATGGGGGAAGCCACAAAACGCAGTAACGGTAGGGGGGGGGGTGTCAAAATATTTCATTCTTTGCCCCCCCCCCCCCTCTCCCCAAACTTCAAGAATCTTGGTGTGCCTATGGGGACAGCCACAATTCAAGTACGTCAAGAAACGTCGGGTAAGCTAATATTTCAGATGATAAAGTAGAGGAGTCCTTGTCCTTGGCTTTACCAACTCGATTGTATCAGCAAAACGAGAGAAAACCAGTTCAAGTTGCGTAAACCTGAAATGAGACAGGTTGAGGAAGGACATCTTGCTTGTTGGGTGGCGAATCGGTGGAATACACCAAGCGATAATGTAGTCCCGGCCCTTGACTAGACTTGAGATGAGGTTCGATGCCTTCGTAGACAAAAAGCAAAAGGGAGCCACGTAGTATGTAAGTAACTGGCAGTAGGTGCGAGCACCCGCAAAAATATTTTCCCCTAAAAGGGGTAGCTCGATTTAATTCTGAACGAACTGTCGACCTTGACACGAGGTGCCATAATGAGCAAAAAGCTTCTCAGCATCTTGTCTTGAACCATGAGGAACAGAGGCATAGCCATGATTTTTCCAGAGGAAGGGGGGGGGGGGGGGGGGGGGGGTGGGGGGGATTGGGGGGGGGGGGGGGGGGGGGGGGGGGGGGGGAGGGGGGGGGGGGGGGGGGGGGGGGGGGGGACGACGGCTAGAATTTCTTAGCTTCACCTTAAGATAGCCAGAAATTATTTTTGAGGGATCGGGGGTGTGGGGATGCATTTAGACCAAAGTTCATGAGGCTAAAACTTAGCTTGATGCCCCCCCCACTCCTATGTTGAACGGTCATTATTGACACTTCATTGATGGCAACGCACCCTCAGAATAGTTCTGGCTCGTCCATCCTGTAAATCACGGAGTGACAGATGCATGAATGTTCTTACAGTCTCGATACTTGAGGTAAATAAGCATGATGCTACGTTGGTTTCATTTATCAAAGTGTAGAGATGCTACGGTATTGCATTTCTTTTCAGATTTCAGTGAACCACGCGAATGCATTTCCGGTTTCAATTGGGAGGGAGGGTTACGAAGACAAACGTTAGAAAAGCAGTGCCGGATTTTCGAGATCCTTCTGGAATGTTCTGTAGAGCATCCCTAAAAAGTTGAAGAGTCAGGCAATTCAGAAGAAATGGGAAATAAAGAAATAAGGGTAAGCAGCAGAAATGGGAGGTAAAGGAGCAGCCAGTTATAAATACATTTCTTTTTTAACCCTCATCCGGGCAAGCTTTTTTACAACCTATTCCGGGCAAGGCGAGTCTATCAGACTCATGTAAAATAAGGCCGTTTGCTGCGGTTACGGTATGTATTCTTATAAATAACAGTACTGTAACTAAAATAATACAGACAATTTATTCAATGGTCCGGATAGTTTAAAAAAATAATGACAGTAATAGACCGAAATATGTCGTAGTGAGTCCAGCGGACTCACCTTGCCCGGATTAGGGTTAAATAATGGTATTTGACATCCCAGTCCAACTGTAGCAGCAAGCCCGCCCTGAGGTTTCCAGAGGCCCGGGGCAGATTGTCCCCGATGGGCAGGCCTGTGTAGCAGTAAATGGAAATTTTATTCCCATATTAAAAGAAGAGCTTTGTATTACAGATCGTATTGAATTGAGAAGAAGGTACTTTCTTCCTATCAGCAAATATTAGCATTTGAAAACGTTATGGCTCTCTGACCAGGGGGAGATGGCACACATGACCAGTATTACTAAAAGACCTGCATGGCCGGTCCCCGTTGATACTGCTAAGCCTAATACCTACTGCCCTCCAATAACTATTGAAATAACGTTGCATAACTGGTAAATGTATTCGCAGAATCAATATTCCCAAATCCAAAAATCCCGAATCCCTTATGTCCTAACCGTCCATTTCATGAGGTGGAACGAATATCCCCCTTCCATAAATCAGTTGTCGTACTAAGCCCTAAATTATGCTTCTTTCTTTCAATGGACCTAAGGACAATGGTGAAACTCGAGCAGCTTCAGTAGCGTCACCAATAAGGGGATGGCTGTGAAGAAAATTATATTGATTGATCTATTCGAACACTTTCGAACTTACCATCCAGTTGTAGATTTCAGAATCTTTTCATTCCATTCAAAGCATCAGTGAAGAGCTAGTAACTAAAGCTCAAAAAGTGAGTCACAATACATCATAAATAAAATTTTAACCTATCGTTGCAACACTGCCATTTCCGCATGGTGCATGGCGGCGTTCGTGGGTCTCTTCGGCTGCGCTTGCACTCTCCAACGTTGTTGGGCCGCTTCTCATTTTCTTCACTCCGTCTGTCACGTTAGTCTGTCTTAAGCCAAGGGCGGATGGCTGAATTGTGCTGGTTATGGGGAGGTCTCTTTATAGAGCCTAACTTAGCCACTCAATGAAACCTCCTGAATCGCTCGTTTTGGTTCGCAAAATGTCATTAAGGAACATATAATTTTGTGTTTAAGGTTAGTACCTATGTTGATCTGTTTGCACCACATTTATCAACGCCTATAGAATGGCTAGAGGCATACTGTATGTTTATTTTTCCCAGAAAATGAGCCACCACGTCGATGATAATTAGGGAACCGGTGCAAGTTGCGTAAGCCGCAAGTGAAAATGCGGTTGAGGGATTGCCTTTTTGCTTTCAGGGTAATGTATCCGTGAAACATATTAGGCGAAGATGTAGTGACTTCGAGTTGGATTCATACCCCCTGGCCAGTAGAGAGCTGAGTAATCGCTACTTCCAGGGTATCTACTTCATCAGCAGAACCACAAAATAATCCATCTGGAATATATTACTGCCTGCAACAGATGGAAGTGTTATAATGGAAGGTTATAATTCAATCCCAAGACTAAAATTTAGCAATCAATCTAATTTCCAGGTTTTTTTCTTCATGGCATAGCAAGGTACTTCCACCCAAGAATCACTCTAGCCCTTCACTAAAAATGAGACCTTGGTTATGTTACTACCATTGACCCTCAACCATGAAGGTGAAGGTAATTCAGAAGTAGCTATTCCCGTTGATTAAGAATGTTACATTATCTTGTAGGCTATTGCAAAATTGTTGTTTTTCAAGTGGGCATATATAGGAAGATAAGTAGTCTAAAACAGCATTCTCTTGGACCCTGCAGTCAACATCTGACTGATATTAGAGCCAGAGTAGTGTGGTGCAATGTGTAGTCTTTCTGATAGATTTTCTTTGAGTGAGAGTTTGAAGTCAAACATAACTTATACTAGTATGTCATTGGTTAGGTATAAGTTATTGGCTTGTATGGCCTTTTTCCAAACTTTATTATCCATGGTATGCATCACTGTTGCTTTGTTGAATTTTCAGGTTGAAAGTGGAGTGTTAGAATGACTGAGGAAACAGCTTTGGCCTCAAATGATACTCATAATGCTCATCAAACTGAAAATCACAGTTTGGAGAATGCTGAAGCAGTGCTTCAAGCATTAGAAGGTAAGAACAACATGCCTTCCTTGCCCTCATTTGAGTATATTCTCAAGAAGCATTTCTTGGATTGTCTGTCGGATTTTATGAATAAGTTTTTTTGTGTATGTTTTCTGGCCATGATCATGGCTTATAATATTGTGAATTCCCTTACAAAAAGAGCAAAAAAAAAAAAAAAAAAGAGACAGGAACAATAAGTGACTAAGAAAGGGTTGAAAATAAGCAGAACAAAAATGAATGCAAAAATATTTTTAAAATATATACTAACAGGTTGCAGTTACTGGTCAAGACAATTGATTGGCTTACAGATGGTTTCTTCTTATCTGGGTATGTATCACAAGGATTTAATGCTACAAGAGGCAAAACTGTCATTTTCTTCCCCCCCTCCCAGTAAAGACCACAATCAGCTATAAAACACTCTAGATCAAGGCTTCCCAACCTTTTTCATGCATGACCCCACAAATCAAGATCGTACCGGTCAGGACCCCAAGCACTGGCTGAAGTTCGACAGGCTCCCTCACCTATGTGCTAAAATCCCAAAGAAAAAACATAGCATGGCATTTAGTTGCCAGTTTGCAACCCCAAACATGGCCTTGGTGACCCCAAATGGGGTCGTGACCCCTGGGTTGGGAAGCCCTGCTCTAGATGAATACTCAGTCTCTCCATAGTGAACTCCATAAGCTGAGATAGCTATACAGGTATAAGCTCAACTGGTCTTTAATTATACAGGTAAACTACATCCTGAAAGTTCATGGCTTCTGATTTTTTAATTTTGTTCATTGTAAAAGGAAGCCTGCTAGATAAGATTAAATCAGTTTGCTTTTAATATTTACAGGTAAAGAAATTTGGGGGTTGAAATCTCTGATTTACTTTACTCACATTATGTAATCTCATCTCCTCTATAGGCCATAGGTGGGCAATGCCATCATTATTTAAGATGTTTTAGATAAAAGAAAGTATTTTATGTAAATCCTTATTTTACTTAAAGGCAGGTGACCCCCATCATTCTGATAGATTAATATTTATGAATTTGGTGGATGATAGAGTTTGCTGGTTGGGAGTAAGTTGTCTGGAATATGAGCAAAATGAATTGTACTATCTTGATTGGTGCAAAAAATTTACAAGATCCTTTTAGGAGCATTTTATCAATCTTCTTATTCTTCTTCCTTCCAACTTTGTATAAAGTACATCAAAGGTGCATGGGCCATCATAAATGCAGATGATATCAAACATGTTACTTATGATGTGTTCACACTGCTGCATATGGATGCATTGCTACAATTCTTATCCCTGAAAATTCTTGATAATGTTCTTTGCATGATTATGTTATGACTTACTTTCTTCAATTCCTTGATTTCATTGTCTTCCTTTCCAAAGGGAAATATGTCATAAAGAAAGTCCATCTTTAGTTGGCTGACAGCCTCATTTCTGATTGTTGACCTATAGAATGGTACCATAGGCCATGCCTGATTTATGTGCTTAAGGGCTGAAAAAGAATGAATACATCCATCCATTATAAAAAGAGTTGAAGAGGGGATGGGTGTACGTCCATGGTTTGTTGGTGATGCAAAAGAAGTAGGGAGGGTCATTTCAATGGGGAAATTTATTGACAAGAATATTTTTATCCCAGGAAATGCCCTGTGGAAATCAGAGGTTAGGCTTAAGTTGAATGAATCACATGAAGCATTTTCTTGAAAATTCATCTGATGAACTTCATACTCATTTTATATTCAGAGCAGAATTGCCTTGCATCCAGTGACTCTGGGATCCTGTATGCAGGCCTAGGACTAGAAGCAGATATGAGAAAAATTTATCTGCAGATAAGATGCATCACTAATTTCTCCTTTTTTCCCCCATCTTTCAGATTTTGAGAAGCAGCTTGAGGTAACTAGCATGCTGGAGGATTTCCTGCATCATGTCGCCAAAACAGGAGAGACTGTGTTTCCATGGCCCAAGGTCAAACCTGTTGTCAAGGTGAAAATGGAACGTGTTCTCCAGGAGTTTCTGGAACTCACACCTCCTGAAGAAATTGTCACCCATCCAAATGTGCCCCGTTTTGACTTTGGAGCCACTAAAAACTTCATCCTAGATCGTTTGGATGGATTCAATGGGTATGTTGATAGTTCTCTCCAGTGAATGAGATTTTGGTATCCCCTTACATAATGATGTAAATATTTGGACTGCTCCTAGAGTCATTGCATTCAGAATCTTTCTTAGATGGCAGAAACATTGCAGAAGGGCTGTCTTTTCTTTTCAAAATGGACTGACACTTTTTATTTGATTCGTATGCAATCTTTCATTAAGCATTTTTCTCACCTAAAGTAAAACTTTATATGTCAGTACTGGTATGTTAGGCTTTACTTGTGTGGTTCCTTTGTAAAACCTGTCAAAAACAATATTATTCAGTTTTTTCATATAATTTTGTGCTGTATTCAGAACTCTTCACTCTACATGGTATTCTCATACCTTACAGGTTGAAATCAAGGAAATGTACCTCTAACCCAGTGGTGCCCAACCCGTGCCCCATGGGCAGGAAGTAGCCCACCAAGTGCTTACAAGTGGCCTGTGAGGCCCTTACCCACAATTAATATCCTCAGGTTTCCTTAAAATAGTCTCCTACAATACTAGTGACTACTTATGGCCCACAATGGCTATGGGACTAAGCTATGTGGCCCTCGAGCTGAAAAGGTTTGGCACCACTGCTCTAACTTGTCCATTTAATTTAATTCATTTTTTTATTATTTTGAAAATTAAAAGTTAATTTGTGTGGTAAGCTATATGGATCTTTGATTCTTATTTGAGTTGGGTATAATACCCAGTGAAGGGCTTAATTCCAACATTTAGGCATGAGTAACATGCACACTCCAGCAGTGATATATATGCTTGCAGGAGTTTAATAACCTATGTCACTGCATTGTTGTGCATGCTAAGCTATTAAGAATTTTTATGCACCATGGCCCATCACTAGGTATTTTACCTTACCTTCCTGATCCCATTGTATCTTTGCCAATCCCAATTTAAATGAGAGAGATTGGGTGCATGACCCTGTACACTCTTGCTTGCAGGTTGGCTCCATTCACAATTCAGAGAATTTGTGAGCTCCTGGTGGATCCAACAAAACATTACAAGCGCGTTGACAAGTTTTTGCGAGGCCTTGAGAAGAATGTGAACGTTGTCAGTGGTGTGGAGCCAATCCCTGTGTGAGTTGCCCCTACATGCTCTGGAACTTATGTTTATCCATCATTAGAACTCATCAGGTGGCCCATGGCAGCATTGCATTAGCCTCTTGATGTATCAGGAACAACATGTATGTATTAAATGTGAAGGAAAGTGTTATATTCCACAATTATTGGCATTAGATTTTCTTTAAGATGTGTAATGCATTGTGCACTTCATTCCTGAGAATTTTCACGGTGCCTAAATATTTGTTTACTTTGACAATATTGATAGACTCACATCTTCATATATTGCCATTGCATTTGCAAAGCCATGAATGTAAGGATGATTGTTCTTGGCTCAGGAAACGTCAAGACCCACCCCCACCTGTCCTACTCAATGGGATACTTGGCAGCCAAATGGAAGTTGAAGATATTCCACCTGACAAAAGAAGCTGTCCTGACAGCACAACAAAGTTGTCTTCTGGTATGCTCATGCTTGATTTCATGTTATGTACCGGAAGCAAAATTCTAGGTTTTTTTTTTTGCTTTTTCAGAGACTTGTAGGCATAGACTAATTGAGCTGCATTTGTTGTCAGAGGATTACCTGAATGTTTTTTATGTTTATTGGTTAGTTTCTGTGATTTAACTTTTCCAGTATTATCTTGGGTGAGTGTTCTCCATCTGAAATTTCCAATTTTCTTGTGGTAATGCATGATATTTCTTTGCTTTGTTCTGGTTATTTTTATTTCTGTTTTTATTATTAGTACCAGTGAAGGTAAGTGTAATTTTTTTCATTGATTTTTTCATTTGAAAGAATTACTTAATATTTCAGCATTACATGCATGTGAATTAATAACCTGCAATTGAAATAATAGTCAAATAGGGATATAGTGACTACATTCTGCTTTCCTGAAAGCAAGTAATGTTTTGATTTTCTTAGCTTCCAGTCAGAGAAGAGAAGAGCAGTCTCATCTACCAGAATTCCTCCCTGAGAGCAAGGCTGATGATGAGACTGATGACCAGAAAGATGATCTGGCAGGAGACAAGGAGAACAATGATCATGAAGAAAAGGAGAATGAAGATAGCGAGGATGGTGAGAGTGAGAATGAAACCCCTGAGACTCTGGATGAAAACAAGGAAACCCCTCCTCTTGAAGAAGGTACAGAAGAGAAGGAGGAGCCTCCACCTGCTGTCAATGGTAGTCTTGACAAAAGTGACAACAGTGACACAGATAGGACAGATAGTGAACAATTGAATGACATGCAGCAAAAGTCAGATCAGACATCAGAAGAGGATGAGAAGGCTTCTCAGGATGATACAAGTGTTTTCAGCCTAAAACCGAAAGGGGAAATCTTGAAGGAATCTGAAAATCCTGATGAAGATTCCCTGATAGGAAGAGAAGATGGGAACGTTTCCCCCTTGGCAGAAGATCAAGAGGAATCAGTACCAAGCCTAGAAGTAGAAGATGAGGAACAAATAGAAGATGATGAGCCACTTAGCAAAAGATTCAAATGGGATACTTGTGCAGATGAACCTCCTCACAGATCCAAAGATCAGGTGAGATTTCTTCATGATGAGAGAAAAGGACCTTTAGTTTAGAGCTCTCAGTTTTCATCTCTAAGGAAACACCTGAAACTAAAATCACAAAGTTTACTCTCTTCTTGTTCCATAAACCCAGAATATATTGATCAGTTGACTTGTACAAGTGGGACTCTCCATGCAGTTGGAGCAGGCTAATACCCCTGTCTGTCTAATGTGTTGTTGCTAATGTCTGTCTCCATAAGTCTGTTGGTATTGGAAGTGAGATAACTCAAATCCATTGTTATTCTACATATGTAGTACAAACTTGAAAGGAAGCCCATTCTTGGAATTTGTTGGTTTACTTAGCTAATTTGTATTCCTTCCTTCCTCATTGCACTTGGCGACATTTTCTGGAGTTGCCCTGCAACCAGAATGCTTGATGTGGGCAAAGGAAAATATATAAGAAATGGAATGAGCATGATCTAATGCTATTTTCTGTTTCATTTCCAGGACAGTGAAGAAAATAGTGACCCAAAAATGGAAACACCTATGTGAATTTGAGGAGTGAGATCTGACTTTCAAAAGAGTACTTCACACTCCTGTACAACTACCAGTGTCCTCCTGGAAGAATGCTCAGGATAATGTTGGTCATAATAATTTTGTTAATTGGTGACTTTTCCATGAGGACAAAATTGTCTTGACCCTCAAGTCTTCTCAATGTTGTGAATACATGCAATTGGGAGCTCTTTTTGTGCCTTTCTTTCAGGCCTTGCATTCATCCATCACACAATCTATATAATCAGGATATCAGCATTCCCTGCTCTAGATATTGTAATGGTTAGATTTTTAAGATGTATCTTCATTTCTGTGAAATGGAGATACACATTTCAATTATGCAAATTTTCTTTGCTCATTTTTTTTTTAATCCTCAATATCCTCTGTTCTTCACTTTCCCAGACAAGCATGTAGGTTCCAGAATCTTGTAATTTTATAGCATTTGGAACTGAATTCTCTGCAGTGAATCACATGTAGTTTTATTTTATATACAAGTACCCCTGTTGTAAATGGTAATTTTCCATCTATAATTGAAGCTATTATATTTATTGTTAGCTCTCTAGTAAGATAAAGTTCCTAAAGTTCAACACCAATCAGTTGCAGGGCACAACTATAGGCTGCAGTGAGCCGTTTCTCCTGCTGCGTTTTTGAAATACTTGTAGGTGAGCTTCGAACTTGTCCAAGGAAAATTATTTTGTTCGCAACAATGCGCAATCGTGCGTTCACAGAGGCCAGCTGGCCCTGCTCTACACCACGTGCTGAAAACGTGGCTCATGCCTTACTTTACCTTGCATGGACGTGATTGGTCCGGAAGGAACCAATCATGTCCACGTCCACGAAAAATTGAGCCATTTATGTAGGCTACGCCTTAAACTTGTAGTTAGATACTCTGTGTATATATTTTCCTGAGGACATGTGATTAGCGATTGAACAAAGTATTTTGAAGAGATTCTTTGGGAATGAAGTGATGAAACAAAGAGTTGAATGTATGACCACCCAAGTTCTTGAAGTTACAGGAGTAACTCGTTCATTTGGGATGGATGTGGAAATAAATTTTCTTCGGAACTAGAAAATCAAGCATGGCAAAGTACTATGACCCTGCGGAATATCTAAATATGAAATCTCTTGATTCAGAAGATGTGTGCACATCTATTTTTTAAAAAATTCGTTCAATAGCAACGTTTTTTAAAACGAGAGCAGAAGTCTTAATTTTGCATTTGCTTTTTTTCACATTCCCTAATTCGTGAAAGTAAAAAGTAAATAGTTTTGAGAAAGCCCTGTTTCAACAAAAAGCATTTGTTTTCGCCATCACGGACTTCTGTACATCTTTACTCTGTTCTGAATTTGATACGGTTCAAAATAGATTGAAACCTCCTGCAGTTGAATCCAACGGGTACAAATATGGAATAGTAACGTTAAACAGACCAGTAATATGTCAAACATTTCATATAATTTTCCGCTGGTAAAATTGCTGGGAACTTCTCCGATTCTCGCGACAGTGAACCGGTTTCCTTGAAGCCAAATTCGCTTTGATCCATGAATTCTGTCCTGGTCGATCAACTTCCATTTCAGTTAGTCTAGCGATTCCAGGTTGAAAAGGGGCTGAAAAGGCAAAATAGCCAATGAGAGAAATATTTTACTAAATTTTGGACATGCATTCCGAGAAGAGGAAAGAACAATACAGATACATGCGTTATGTGTACGGAGGCAAAAAAAAGGATGGGACTCGTACTACGTGGAGCACTCAAGGTGGATGTAATAAGTAATAGGCAACTTCGGAAGTCAATCATAAACCTAAAAAGTGTTAGGTAGAAGAGAGTGGTCTGGGTAGCATCTAAACTGGTTTACAGCGGAAATTCAAAAGCTCGTTGCCTCGGTAAATTAAGTTTCTTGGAATATTTTTGTGAGAGCTTATGGAAGAAACGAGTGGAACTCCTGCGTAAGGAGCGATATGAAGAAAGATATCTAGAAGTAATGCTCACAAAGATGTTAAATTCGCATATGCATAAAAAAGAAAAATGCGAGGAAGTGACGATAAAGAGCTTGATGTAGTTAACCTGGAAGTAGAGGGTTATTAACTGGTTAACCCAGGGGTCGGGAACCTATGGTTCATGAGCCATGGCTAAAAATCATGGTTGTTCCTCATTTTTCTCATGTATCAAGGAATGCACTTGTATCTCGCTAACTTCAGGAAAAAATCGGTGGTTCTGAATATCTTTCGCTCACAAGCACTTACCTCAATCTTAATATGGCTCAAATGGCCAAAAAGGTTCCCGACTCCAGGGTTAACCTGACCTATTTTGGAGACAGTTTGGTCTTGTTTTGCTTTTTTCCATGCCTTGTTTTGAATTTATTTAATGGATGTGCTAGTTATTTTTCTTGCTTGTGTCTTGGGTTCACTCCCCTCATTATTGCATCTCAGAGACAGCCAGATCTCACAATACTCCCCCTCTTCTGTCTGTGAGTACTGTCATGTCATTTGCATCCACCATTCAGTCCCAATAAACAAAACTAAACTAAATTGTGTTCACGGTCTTGACATGCCGCCAGTAGAGGACAAACCCTCTCAAATCCACTCAGGTGGTGCCAAGCGTGGGAATCGAATATGCGTTTGCCGTCTTTTCCTGCATGGAGTCCTGTGTAGTTTTCTTCCTACATCTGAATCCTCTGTGTAAGTTTTTACTTGACTCGTGCCTGTGGGTCTTGATTCAGTGCGATTTCTCACAGCGGAGAAGAAATATGTCGGAAGTCGTGCCTAGACTTATGCTTCAGAGCTATTTAATTTTTAAAATGCGAGAATTATGTCGGGTTAACTTCGTCATCAAAATTTAACTATGATGTAGGCGTAAGACCGCATTTTGATAGGTAAATTACGCCGTAATGCTCGGCTACACGATGATAGTTTAGTTTTCATTTTAACGTTAGACTGTAATAGGCCTGTACCCATGTTCAGAGGGCAGGCCTAGATCTGTGTCCAAGGCTTACAGGTGGTTTTATTTGAATTAGATAGTTTCCTCCATGACTCATTAGCCATGTAACCCTAAGAATTACTTGACATCTTGTGAACAACCTTCGTCTTTCTCAAAGGCCACGAACCTTCATTGTGCTCAGTAGGCTTAGTCAGTGATCACTGGTGACCTCCAATGAGGGGAGATTAAGATGAAGTACTGAAGTAACCCTCCCACATCATGAATTGACCCTGAATTTAGTGAACGAAGTCAGTAGGGCCACTTTATTCCACATTAAAAGCAATGGTCCTTGGATCTATATGTGCTCTCCTGTCATGGTGGCAGCCATACAAATCCAGGGAATCAATGATAGTCTCACACTACTCTTGCTATTTGTGAGATTTCACATGACAAGGCTCATGCTGACCATTCCTAACAGCTTCCTTGACATTTCTATAAGTCAGAAGTATCTATGCCAACTCCCCATATTCTCACACAACACCTCATGCTAATTTCCACTCTCTGTATTCATCCATCCATTGCATGCCCCCAATCATGGCCACTAAATACCTATAGTGTCTACTCAAAAGTTTGTTTTCCACCAGTAATAGTGACTCCAAGTCAACCATGCTAGCATGTCACCTTGAACAACAAGTAACCTTTCATTCTAAGTCGAAATGAAGTTTAAAAACTAGAAAATTTAACCAGGGATCACTGACCTTGTTGAAAAGGCATTTCAGAGTGGTAGTAGTAGGTGTCATAATTTCTTCAGTTTTTTGCAAAATTAATGAGATACTGTTGCATGCATGCAACTATGTGTTAGGATTTTGAAAGTGCATCTTAGTAACTATTTGAATTGGCCTTTAACACATGAGTTGGATGGTTATCATGAATGGCATCTTGTTGGGAAAGACTTCTGAAGTGGACCCCCTGGAGAATGGCATGTGATATATCAGTAGCAAGCTCTTCATGACTAGATTCCATGTTTAGGTTTTAGCCGAGATTGTTCAGAAAGGTGGTTATAATTTTATTGTTAGGCATGTTGACTAGGCAGGCTTGATATGTGTATGTGACCCTCTCACACGGGATGGAAGGGGTATTTTTATGAATGAGATTTATCATTCCTCTTAATAAGATTGTATTGTATTGAATGTAATAAGATTGCCATAGCTTGTTGTGGAATTAGTTGCAAATCCCATCCTTTTTTTCAGAATATTAATCCCTTGGAAATCCTGCACTTTCTTCTGGTATGACATAAGTGAACAAATATTAGCTCCTGCTATTACATGGCTATGCCAGCTGTTTCTCTGCTATGACCATAAGTTTTAATGGCAAAAGTGGGGATCCTGTTTTAATGCATTCCAAATGCATTATGTGATGGCCAGTCAAAATTTAAGATTCTCTTTATGGAGCTTACAAAATCTGTTGATTGGAAATATATTTTATTGAGTTGTTAGGGGTTTCCTTTCAACCAAATTCTTTCATTTGTTTGCTTCATGAACCCATACAAGTTAAGGTCTAATTTATTCATATTAAGGAAGTTATTCTTGATACTAAAGAAAACAATCAGGATTTGGCATATGGAAGTAAATAGTGAATGATGCCTTCTAGAGCTACAGACTTGTGTTGCCTGTGTTCTATTGGTTTTCCATCATTTTATATTTTTTATGGATTGCAATTAATGACAAAGAAATGGAATGAGAGGAGGAAGTTATTTGATCAGGAGTTCCAGTTACAATGCTTTTCCACAGCTTTTTCTAATCCCTGAATTTTTTGGGATCCACGATAAAGAAGTAAGACCCACCCCAGCTTCCCAGGCATTGCAAAATGTGATTCCTTGTATTCTTTCAGCAATATTAACTCTATTGTGATATACCATCTGGGAAGGAAAAAGCAAGGTTAGATCACATATGAGCTGTAATCCTGAAATTAAATGTATATCTTGACTGATTACCCATGCTCTTTGTCAAGTGAAAATCTTATTTTTTTGTGATTATCCCTTTGATGTTTCGGATATACAGCATATTCCTTATAATGACATCTTCTGCATTTTTAATTATTATTTCAGAGAAGCTGATTGGGTGTTCCTGATCATTCTTATGCCATGGGGCGTGTGAGAACCAAAACCGTGAAGAAGGCCTCCAGGGTCATCATAGAAAAGTATTATCCACGGCTTACCTTGGATTTCCATACGAACAAGAGAATCTGCGAGGAGATAGCCATCATCCCCAGTAAAAGGCTACGCAACAGGATTGCTGGCTTTGTCACTCATTTGATGAAGCGTATCCAACGGGCCCCAGTGCGTGGCATTTCCATCAAGCTCCAGGAAGAAGAACGAGAGAGAAGAGACAACTATGTCCCAGAAATCTCTGAATTGGATGCAAAGGATATATTGGAGATTGATAATGAGACCAAGGATATGCTGAAAATGTTGGATTTCAACTCTATCCCCAACCTCCAAGTGGTACAGACCACCCCTCAGTTTACTGGTGGCCGTCGTGTGTAATATTGATGTCAATAAAGAGGACATCAGAATTTTCTCTGCTTTTTATTGAAATTTATCCTTGGGCTGCAAATAGTATTATCCATCTGAAACTGGCCTGCTGTCTCAAAAAATGAGTTCCATAGAAAAATACCTAAATCTTGCTAAGTCAAGTGTTAGGTTTGGTGTTATGTTTTGATATTGAATCCACACATCCACTTCCATTGCATGCCATTTCTTAATAATAATATTTTGACAGGCTTGGATTGTGATTTCCTTGCAGGGCACAATATCCATTTGGAGAATGCATGTTGGTGGAAATCTGCAGTTACTATGTAATGTTGCATGAACTGTATTCATGATGTCCTTCCCACTGAACCAGATTTCTGAGCATTTGAAGCATTTGAATCCCTCCAAGTAACAGTTTGAGCTTTGTGCCTGTTATAGTCTGGGGAAAGCCTTTTGAAATTAGGCTGAGCTTCTTTAACATTAATAATGTCATTTGGCAAAATATTGGGATTGTAGAGGGAAAAGATTATGACATTACACATCAGGTCATCCCATAAGTAATGCGGTTTTTTCGCATTGCCAAACTTGTGTCTTGTTTATACGTGTATCTATGCACATCTCATGGAATATTTCTATGCTAACTTGTGTAGACGTTAGTCTTCAGTCTACTTGTAGGTTTTAACAAGTTAACAGTGCTTCGTTTTTCTTAGACGTTAAAAACAAGATGGAGGTGTCAGAGGAACACATTCGGCATAAAATGCTTTATGAATTTAAGAAAGGGAATAACGCAACTGCAGCCACGAAAAACATTCAAGATGTTTTTGGTGAGGAAGCTCTAAATGTGAGGAAATGCCAACAGTGGTTCCAGAAATTCAGGTCTGGCGACTACAGCTTAGCCGATGAAGCGGGTTCAGGCTGACCTGTTGAGTTCGATGATGACCTGCTGATAGCCACTCTTGAAGAGTGGCTATCAGATCCTGCTGTAACAGTTGAAGAACTTGCCCAGAAACTCAATTCGACCCATTTCTCCGTTCATTGCCGCTAGGAAACGACGGGAAACAACGGCTGGGAAAAGTGTCAAAGCTTGGAAAGTGGGTTCCACATGTGTTGTCACCAGACAATCTTAGAGATCAGGAAAACATTTGCGCTTCACAGCATTCTCGTGAACTTCAAGTGCCGTTTTTGAATTGACTCATTAGCAGGATAATCTTTAAGTGTGGCTATCTGCAGGTCATCATCGAACTCAACAGGTCGGCCTGAACCCGCTTCATCGGCTAAGCTGTAGTTACCACACCTGAACTTCTGGAACCACCGTTGGCATTTCCTCACATTTAGGGCTTCCTCACCAAAAAAATTTTGAATGTTTTTCGTGGCTGCAGTCATGTTATTCCCTTTCTTAAATTCATAAAGCATTTATGCCGAATGTGTTCTTCTGACACCTCCATCTTGTTTTTAACGTCTAAGAAAAACGGAGCACTGTTAACTCGTTAAAACCTACACGTAGACTGAAGACTAACGTCTACACAAGTTAGCATAGAAATATTCCATGAGATATGCACAGACACACGTATAAACAAGACACAAGTTTGGCAATGCAAAAAAACCACATTACTTATGGGATGACCTGATAAATTGCATGATCTGAGTATGTATGTAACCTAATGCAGTGTTTGAATGACAATTCTAAGTTTGTGGACTTTTGTGATATTATAGTGCACACAACATTATTAATACGTTTATTCATCACTCTTACCTTGAGTATGTTCGGGAATGCAACTATGATTTTTCATTCCCATCCAGTTTCATTGTTTTGGGAGGATGTACCCTTGCATACCACAGGACACTTGTGAACATTTGTTCATCCCATAGAAATGGTAGACATGCTTTAAAAGGCCATATAGTCATGGGCAGTCAGGAAATCTGGGAAGTTCCTCCTAAACATTTTTGGGAAACATGGTTGAAAAAGGAATTGTTTTCATATTTGAGTGACTGGAAAAATATTCTACGGAAGCTGCTGTTGATCCATTCAGTCAAAAAAAAACTAAAAGTGAACAGTGTTTAGACTGGAATGATTATTGCAGTCATACCCTGTTGGGGAAAGTGTAATCATCAAGTGAATGGTGCTGGAAACATAAGATCCAATCAAAATAGTGAATGTGATTCAGTACGAATGCATATAAATTTATTGCATTAAATGCATAAAATCATATAATGATTTTATGCATTTATATGCACAGACGTGTAAGCATTTTCTTTTGACAGAGCTTTCAGGGTATATAATCATGTATTGGAATTTTTTTCTCTGAGTTGAACATATTGCAAAAGATGAATTGGCAACATCACACTGCTGAAAATGTTGCATGTGCAAAGACCATACCTTATCATATTCTGACAACTGACACTGTGCTGATAAGAAGGAACTTAACTATTTCCAATGAACAGCAATAATAAACTAAATACCATTATATCCTGTGTGTTGAGGCTGAAAGGCTTGTTCATTAGCCTGCAAGTGCACTCAGTATTTAAAAGTGAATGAGACAGGAAAATTCAACAAAAGCTAACATTAGTAATATCACAGTAAGCCCCATGCTTGATTTCCTGTGATAAGTGTGATGCTCTTCCCATGCTCAGCAAGACTGAAAATTTGCACAGAACTGTCATGAAAGACCTTGGAATTTATTTTGGGTACAGAAATTTAGTTTTTATATCAAAATATTCATAATTCTATGAAAATTGAAATAATTACATCAAGTTCAAGAGATGAAAGGGCACTCAAATACCCCATTTAAAATCTTTAAATTGAAGCAGAACTTCACTGTATATACAAGGCAGAGCAGGCAAGACAAGAATAATTTTTACTATTCCAAAAAAAATGTATTCTTAAATTCCATATTGCATCTAATGTATTAGAAAGAAGTACCAATCACACATCCCCAGAATGACCTTGCATTGGTCATGGCAAGCATATCTAGAGTGGTGAAAAATGCAGAAATAGTTACTCATAGTCTTTGTATAGTACATATAGTAGCTTAGATGTAATTGGACAAATTAAACTTATTAGTCCAATGATGTTTAAATAGGGATATCTATATTCCCCTTTAGTGTTATCATGCTCATCCTTTCACAAATGGAGGAATGATTAATCCTTTATTCTTGAACGAAGGGAGGCTTTATTTTCATTCATCTTTCTTTTATGGGAACTGTAACAGAGGTTTTCTTTCATATCATGTTGGGGGAGAGGTAAAGAAAGAAGAGGCTTCACTGAGCATAGAAAAATCCCCCATAAAAATATCTTGGATCTGCCCTTTTTGATTAGCATGCGATGTTTTAGGTGGTGCTGGTAAAATAATTGGTGAAGGCATGGTTGTTGGTGAAATAGTTTTTAAGTAGCAAGTATTGTGGTTTGTTCAAATGTTGTCACGTGGTATATTTGGTATGGGGTGGCACTGAGGTCTGCATGTTGCATGGGAGGCTGAATTGGTTTTCAGTCCTTGGCTTCCTTTTGGAGGGCCCAGTCCATAATCCCTCACCCTTTCTGTTAATGGCATGCTTTTGGTTCTAGTGTACATCTGGCACTCCTAAAACCCAATATATTGAAGTTTAACTAACAAGTTTTATCCTGCTTCCTCCTGCCTAGAGCAATCTTGTCAATCCTATCTCCTAATGGGGTCTAATTCCAAAGCCAATAGGTTCAGTCTGTAATCCTTTCCATGGAGTCCAAGAATGGTTCTTAGAATTATTGTTTTTCTATTGAATGAATGGACATTAAATATCCCTCATAATCAGAATGAACTAGGTCATTCCTAACAAAGCTGGTGTTGAAGTATGGAAGTTATTATTTATGCTGTTATAATGTGAGACTTCCCTCTTGCAAAGATATGAATCACATGCAAATACACACACTCAATTTATTTTTAAGTTGGATAAGTGCACGTGGATCAATCATTCAAATACAAACTCCCATGCTTCATGGATGGCCTGTACAAGGTGATCCAAAAATCACTTTACACTTTGATGTGCTGAAAAGAACATTTATTTACAAAATTTTTACAAAATTTACCAATATACTGTTCTGCTGTAAACAACTTTCTGGTCATGACTTCCCTTAGTTATCTGAAAGAAATAAACAGAATGTAAGATATCAGATATAAGTACATAGAAGCAGAAATAGAACAATAGCAAAAGTATTAAGGGACTTTTGGATCACCCTGAATATTAGCATGTTTTGGAAAGAGGAAGATTTGTTGTGTATTATGACATAACTTACCTTGTGGGTGTTGAAAATGAACAAAAGGAGAGCTAAATATAGCAGACCACACTGGGTTCATTACAACTGGGTGGTTACTTCTTAGCTTTTCAGGCCATCAATGAAGATGCATTAAGAGCATAGGGCTCTAGTTACAATTAGCATTTCAGGGCAGTGCCTCCATTCCAGATGAGAACCAACCCATCAATACCTGGTCTGCTACCAAGTGCAGAAGTCCCAAAGCCCATGAACATGGCCTGACATCAGAGCCTTATTTTGGGTTCAGCCTTTGTCACCCACCAGGCAGCTTTTTCCAATATCAACTTGAGACATGCATGATATAAACTCAGGGCCCCCCTTCCCAAACATGCCTGAGCCTTCACTCAAGGTTAAGCACCTGACCTGGTGCTAATTTCCATAAGTACATGATGACAATATTTTGAACAACTAACCAAGTATTTGTGGTGGGTTACAAATATCTCCATGCTTTTTGCAACTGCTTGAATAGGGACTTTTTCTTCTTTCTGCGAAAGGGAATGGTGGAGTCAATTTATATGTAAATTTTCTATTCATTTCCTTGGAGAAACTGAAAGCAATTGGAGATGCCAGATGGCATAAAAAATTTTTTTTCTCATTTCGATATATTCAAGATCCAATGAAGGCTACTTATTCACCACAACATTGATCATTTTTTCAAATATGTATTCAGGTCTTCCTAGATGTGATAATGTTCTATGAGCCAAGTATCCTTAGAAGAAAAGGGGAGTTT